GCAGCCGCTGCCAAACCTCAACGGCAGCAGCTGCTTCAGTCATGTGACCAGTTTAGGGATGATTTGGCAGCTGCCGGCGTCGAGATTAAGGTAAGTCATAACAGATTCAACAGGGCTTTGTGAGTAATCCTTGATCCTGTCATAAAAGAGTATGAATTTCACTTGCAAACTGAAGGTCTAGTAAATGCCAAAAAAATTCACCTACGCATTACCACCATGTACACCTTTCTTGTAAAAAATACTACAAGATCGGGCCACTCACCCTACACTCATCTCCATTCATACTTGACTTAAAATACCTAGATTTTGGTATGGTCACCATTTAAGATAATCAAAGTTTAATTCTGTATTAGGCCTATAATAAACATATCTGATTAATAAATTATGGACTATACTGTCTCACTTTTTTCAAACCATCACAACAATTTTTGGTCTTTGAATACTAACATTTGATCATAATTAGTAATGCTACTGGTCTGTTTGTGTTTGTACTAATTATTATCTATTTACATTATGTTTGTGATCCTCTCCTATTTTTGGTATTGCAGATATGTATGATCAGTAATATCCTACATTACAAATTATACCTAACCAATAAACAAACTATAGATCAACACCTTAAAAGTTACCCTTAAAACAAAAAAAAAAGTGAGTTTTGAGGGTTTTATTCGTAATTACAATCCCACCGCTGTGAAATGTTGGAGAGTTGGGATGTATCAAGAGGTTCACACTTTCTAACACTGTTTTTCCACCAACAGTCGTTGTCCTTCGGTAGCACAAAGTCAATGTTGTCAGAGAAGGAAGGGAACTTGTACTTAGGCCTGCAGGGAGGGCAATAGAGTCCCTTCCATTCGTCGCAGATTGGAAATCTTCCGGGAACCATTCCGGGGATGCACGGCGGTCTGATCAGATGCGTAGGCAGTTCTTGTTTCTTGGGTGGTGGGGGCATCTCGATAGGCGGATTCCAAGGCTTGATCCCACAAGAATGCTTCTTCGGGGCGTTTTGGAAATCCTGTCGCACCGGCAGGGTTCGACTGTAGTTCCTTACAGCATTGGTAAAAATTTTTCTGAAAGACATCATTTCTAATGGGTAAATCTAATTAGAATTTGGATCAAAATTTTTGTTAACAGCAAATTTGTAATATCAAATTTTGACTGAAGTTTGGTAACTAGGGAGATTTTACAAACAATTTATTTCCCAGTTTTATTACACAAAAAGGTGCTACACTGAAAGGTTATTATACCTGAGTTGTGAGATAGCCCTTTGTTCTATTTGTTTGTGTTTTTAACACGTTCGCTGCGGGCCATCAAATGGCAGGCGTAGCCCCAGTGCGGCGCAGCCCGCAGCGTCGAACAAACCCGATTGCCGGGTGATTGGCTCTCATATTTCGGTATGACGAATAGCAAATAACGTGCGGTGATGTCCTGTTTTATAACAAGAGTCGACGTAGATCGCTAAACACTCACAGATAGCAGCACTGCTTGGAACGTAGCCGGTCCCATCGTATTGCCAATTGGAGGGAGAAAGACGGGACAACAAGTTGATTTTTAAGTTTACCAGACGGGGATTTTATGGGGAAATTTTACTACCAACCTACAACACAACAAAAAGCAAGTCACCCACTACACGCTAACGTGGAATAGGTCTGAACCAAGTGGTCGGTCGGTTGCCTTCGACCGACGCTAGAGCAAAAACGATGATATACGAAAGGCATTGCCGAGCGTATCCGATCGGTTACGGCAGCACCTGGACAGCGCTCGGCCCGTATCCGATCGGATACGCCCGCAGTGAACGTGTTAAATGCTGTTGTAACATCATCATCAGATCAGTAAGCTCTACAAACACCTTATTTCTTCAGACATTAAATCACTAAGCTAACTTCCAGATACATTTTCTGGAATTGAGTAACCACATTCTTTCTCAATCCGGCCAAAACATTCACGTTTTTAGACCTGTCTGGCCATCTAATATATTGTAGTTAGCTGGTGATTTAACATGTGAAGAAATATACTTATTTAAATAGGGTTAAATTAAATGGCAGTATATTATACCTTTCATTCATTATATTTACTGTATTCCAAAAACAACACCTAACATTAAGTGAATAAAGTATTGTGATGAGTGCTGGGTGAACTAATTTGACTGTATGTACGGTAACTGGTATGTATAAAAAAGCTACAATATTAAGTAAGTAGTAAACAAACCCTGCAATAAATTCTAGCTAGCTCTGTATTAGTGTGGCTTGAATAAATCCAATATTTTATCAACATTTTAAATTATAGTTTTTTAATAAAATGTTCATTGTACAATCAATGTTTAGTTAATATTTACTTGGTAATAGATTTATTAATATTTTAACCTTTTATGAACTTATAAGCTATCATCTAATAAAAATTAAAAATATGTTTACTTATTTGCTAAATTTTAGGATCATCGGTCCCAGAAATCAACATGGAGTTTGAAAGACATTGCTGTGACTCAAGAATAGCCCACAGTAACATTTCAGTTGTTGGTTATATTTTAAATATAATATAAAGGTTAGGTAATAGATTCATTTTATTTACCCAATCTTAAATGTCACAAGACTGTTGGTAAGGTGGTTTGGTTTCTAAACTCTGCTAAAAGGGGTCAATCAAATAATTTGTTGAATGCTTAATGTTAAATGTACTGTAATCAGTTTAGTAGCAGGGTTAGAACTAAAATTATAATGTCCTACCTTACACAGGCTTTACATATCGTAATCATTTCTCATCCGTTATTTTTTGCTGTGTAATGTTTGACTTTACAATAAATAAACCTCTACTACAACAATATTCTGTCAAATGCAAAATTAAATATTCGGTACAATAAAATACAGATTAAAGTATAATAGGTAAAAAACTGAAATAGTAGGTCAAATTGACAATTCTCTACAGTTGAGTTAAATTAGTTTGGCCACTCAGAGCTAGGGAGGATCATTAACATAGTACAAGGGGGAGGAGTAGGGCGTGTTGGACCATTCATCTGGAATCCTGCTGCAGGCACTACAAGGAAAGGGTGGAACCTCCCCATCTTGTATTGTGTCAACCCCCTGTCATCAGGGGGGGGGGTTTACCAACTTTGTAGTTTTATTGGTGTTTGAAATGTATTTTTTAACTTTCATTTAAATATTATGATATTTAAGATAATCATCCCTAGTAGTAAATCGTGTTGAATTATATCTTAATCCAGTATTACCTGACTGTCATCTGCCATGTTTTTGTTTGGATTTACATGTAAAGTCAAGGTTTTCTTTGAGAGGGAATATGCTGGATAACGGTGTTCTAAGTCAAAAATTGTTCTAATGAAATGTTGATTTTGGATGGTAAAAAAAAAAAAAAAAACAGGGTAAGGACTTTTCCGTAAAATCGTAAGAAAATGCCACTGGTATAGAAAACATAAAATAAAGTAAAATCTACTTCTTTTGCACAGTTTACAAATAAATTCCATATCTTTGGTCATATTAAATCTAAAATTAGCAAAAAAAAATTTAAGGTTACCACGTAGCCTACATTGTAATTAATTTTTCATCATTCGGTATTCAAAAATAGCCCTTTTCCATACAGCTGAGGTCAAAAATCGTCAATTTCCATACACCAAAAACAAATAGTATTCAGCTGACTTTTCCTGACATAAACATTACTTTCACTACACAAACAATACTTTGCTTGACATCAACAAAGTCAGAATACAACTGAATATCTGAACGAAAAATCAGATCATTTTTTAAAATTTGATGAAGTAGTTTTTCTCATCATGATAAAGAGTATTGTTCAATACTCGTAACGAAGTCCCATTTCGGGGCTCGATGGTGTTTCCCATGTGAGTCCAATACGAGCACACAAACACAAAACAACATTGTATGTAAAAACACTATCTCGTCCCGAAATGGGTAACTTTCGTGACTAGTACTGAAATATACTATTGTACACTGTAGACAACTCATATAAAAATACTTGCTGTAGCAAGTATGTTTTTTTTTTACATCGAGAGCACATAGTTAAATGAGCTTTTTTAGAGTGTGCTTCTATAGAAGTCCTACTTTTTGCCCTACAGAAGAAGCTATGACCGTAGGTGGCTGGAAAGACCTAGACCCAGGACGGATTTACTTTTCCTTTATGATGTCCCCAGAGGCTAAAATCACTTTTTTCAAATTTATTTAAGTATGGGTGAACACGATAACTTGAGTAATTCTAGTCCGATTTTGATGAAATTTAGCATGAATGTGCAGAGCTGGATGAGCTTGATTGAGTTGGTGAACCTGTAATTTTCGATTACGGAAATTAAATGTTATTGGTTTTTTAACATTTTGAAAAAAAACAAATTTTCAAATTATACCCTTAAAACATGTAAATGCCAAATTTTCATCAGATCCATTGACAGAGCTGAACCAAGATACAATTTTGTACATTGAAACATTAATCTACTATTAAATGTTAGATAGATGTTAAAAAAAACCTTAAATTTAATATTCTCATGTTATTCTAAGGTGAAAATGAAAACTGTTGTAGTTTGCCTGTTATTTATTTCACTTATTATTTGATAAAAAACACATTTTCTTCTCCTTGTACAAGCAAACCTTAGCATTAGTCAAATCTATGTTACGTAAATACCTTGGGGATTAATATGACTTGATTATGAAAATATTTTGGTAAAAATCCAATCAGACAAATTTATATTTGCTTGGTTTTCAGGGTTGCTGCGGCGGGGGTTATTCAATTTCTTTTTCACTCTGTGATTGTTGATACTTGATAGGGGTATAAAAGGTGGCTCATTCCATATTTTTCTAGTAACTGAAAGCCTGAAAGTCACCCAATTTAGTTTTTGACTCTAGTATAGTAGAAACTAGAAAGCTAAAGGTTTCTAAACTTAACATCGCTTACCACTTATTACCCAGGATTTTACATAAAATAAAAACACATTAAAAAGAGGTAACACATTTAATCAACTGTTTACATTTCTAAATATAGTAACACTAATTATAAACACAATAATAAAAAGGTTGTAATAAAGTCTAGTAAACCTAGCAATCAGGTACATAAGCAAAACTAATCTAAAACATTGACATAGAAACATAGATGAGACAGCACAATCCTGGTAGTCAACAGAACTCAAATTGTAAAACATCATAAGAGCTTAGTAGTATACAACAGGGGGAAAGTTTACAAAAGAAATAAATTGCAACATAATATATGTATTTTATTCATAATAACTTTTTGTGCTTGGTATTTCTTTACTATACGCTTCAATTATTTTCTTTACTTCAACTTGTCCACAGAATAGAAATATTTTTGAAAAAATTACATACATATTACTTACAAGTTTTACATATATTTTACACTTTCATGAGTACAATTGTTTAATCCATCTCAGTGTTTTGTGTGATTCGCACCAATTTAAATAATTTGAAGGAATATAAATTTTTTTAAACACAAAATTTAAAATAGTTTAATTATAATCAGTTGTATGTTTTTAAAGGATGTTAAAGGAATCTTTGTATTCCATTCCCTCTCATCACAGCTAATTTAGCACTTTCATGAAACTCGAACATTATCTTAACTATTTTCAGAATATTATGTTTGGAGAAAAATCAATTCAATGGACGACTAGATTTCAAAAACTAAACATGTTACAAAACTGGCAAAAAGAGAAAATTCATTACCTATTCAAAATAATACTGTGGTCAATTGAAAACTATTGTAGCTAAGAGGTTTTTATGACAAATATTTTACATATATTAAATTTAATGTAACTTTAACAATTCCTATTAAAAAAATTACTATTCTATGGGAAACATCATGAACATGATTCTGATAGCGTGATTTAAAATAAAAGATCACTAGTATTGTTATTTTTTATTTACTGACACAATTAAAGTTTCAATTAATCCAGGATAAACTATATAAATTCGATTAGAAGTTTTTGGTGAAATAAGTAATAAGTATTGTTAAATACCCTTTTTTAACTTTAAATTTCAAATTTAAAAAAGAAATTAAAATTCAACAATGCAACAAAAATAAAACAAAAAAAAATATTAAATGCTTGAAGTAGATGAGTTTACCACATTCATTTACAAAAATACCGTTTCACCTTTGACTATAGTATCCAATAGTAGGCCTATCCAATCCAATAGTCAATGATTTCACTGTGTATACCTTAGCTGATATTTAATGTTCAAAAGTAAATTCTTAGTGTGAAAGTACTGTAGTACAGAAAGGTGGTTTTTATAGAAAAAAAACTTTAATTTACCAATTGTTTACTTAGGCTATCAGCTTATTATTTATATCAACAGAGTGTTTAGAATCTTTAGATTAATTTGTGTCAGAAAATACTGGTACATTCATTTGATGCAATAATGTATAGGACAGTAAATAACAGCCTACCATAGACGTCAGGCAGGAACAATTTTTTGTTTGGGAACAAGTTCCTCTTCTGATGGAATTTCAGGTCTTTTCCGTTTTCTAGGAGGTTGTGACATGGACAAGTTCATGCCCGTCTCCTGTTGCGGAGGTGGACTTTCTGCTTCTAATTTGATGTTTACAGGTGCAACTGCTGGTGTTGGTTCTGACCTTTCTGTTGTACTTTTCTCCTCTTTTAGTTTGAAATTAGCTGGAATAGGAATAGGTATGGGAATGGGGATAGGAATTGGAATGAGTACAGGGTAAGGAACCATAAGAGTAGGGGGTGGAAGAAGGGACGGTGCAATAGGCGGAGGTGGTTGATGGTTAGGGGGGAAATTCAACGGTGGGGGAAACTGTACATTCCTGTTGAGGGGAAGCAAAGGTGGAAGATTGCTATTTGGATGAGGCTTTCGGATTTGTGGCCTCGGAAGAGGAAACCTAGAAGCTAACTCAGCAAGAACGTGGGGTGGAGGGAAAAATCCTGGGTTGAGAAATGGAGGTCTATGCAACGGATGATCAGGGGGTAGAAGAGGGTTAGGCAGTGGGTAAGGATGCATAGGAGGCACCATGGGAGGTGGATTTTTGGGAGGAGAACCGCTATTAGTACTTCTCGGAGATGAGGAATTCGCACTGATTTCCGCCTGTGGCGTAACTATCGGAGCAGAAACTTTTAATCTCTTACTTCGAACTTTCCTCGCCTTGAAACTACTTTCTTTTTTGGACACTTTGTGTAAGGGTGGTGGGATTGGTAAAGGTTTAGGTGACACTGTAAGGTTTGTAGGTTTGAGGTCGTCATCGTCTTGACAAGGTGATGGGGGAGGTGAGGGCTTGACTGGGGTGGTTATCTCTATGATAGGGGAAGGTATTCTCTCAGGTGACCGAGACTTGTCGGAAGTAGGGGACTCGGAGCGACAGTCTCTCATCCACAGCTCGGGAGTTATGAGTGTTGAGCCTGACGGGGCTGTGTGCCCCGCCACAGGTCCTGCAGATACCCCCGCAGACGCCCCCGCTGCCTCCTTCAGATGTGGATGAAGCTGGAGATGAGCCTGTGTCTCCTTGCAGAAGATGTTCATCTTGTACTGGTTCAAACACTTGTCACTGAAACAATCAGATATGTACTTTGTTTGTTGATCAAAATGTTAATCATGTTGATGCAATTTATACTACAGTATATTAACTAAAAAAATTCATTAATTTATTAACCCTTCCAGGGCTAAATTAAATAATGGGCTGGAGCATAAATATTTTTTTGTAACATTTAAAAACTAAAGTGGTTATGTTTGAATTTATTTTGCTTGAAATAATTAATGGAACATTAACAGATTTTTCTAAGCGATGAACTAATTTTTTACAAAAGTTATGAAGAAAATAAAGTTTGATTTGACGGATATATCTGACTTAGGGGTGAGTAGAAAGGCTTTTACATTAAAATTGCCTGGTGGTGCTACACCACAAACACCAACCTGCAAAATTGCAGCTGATGATCGCCGTCCTGGAAGTCGACATAGTTGACAGTGTGCCTGGTGTGTCGGCACCAATCACAGGTCTTGTTGCGCTTGAAGCTCGCTCTCCGACACTGTGTGAAGCACACCTCAGAACAGAACGCCTTGGAGCCCCGAGGTGTTGAGGTCTTGAATGTGAACTGCTTGGCTTGACCCACCTTGCGACACCAGGCACAGGAGAGACATCCCGGGGGAACTGCAACTGTGAAACAACAGTGTTGGTTATTTGGTTGTGACACTATGTGAAGCACATCTCAGAAGGTCTTCCTGGATAAGCTCTCATAGTCACTAATGGTAGATTATTGGTCTTTTGGGGTCAACTGTGTCAAAAAGGACACAACATTACTGTCTATAGTTGTTCTAGCCTTGATGCAGAGTGTGATCTTCAGAGTGCCTTGATTTCAGCAAAGTTGTCGTAACAAGTGTGCTGACTTTCTACAACACTGTCGACCACAGAAGACCACAAATCTACCAGTGTTCGTGTTCAATGGAGAGAGTTCTCTGGTTGAAAGTGTTTTTGCCTGTTGGTATAATTGGTGGGATTTGACATAGGCTTCAGGACAAACATTAAATGTTGGATACTGAAGTAGACGGCCTATGTATGGACCATCTGTAGCAGTTTTTTTTACATTCCAATTAAATTCAGCATAAGGCAAATAGGCACTCATAGAGGGTGCTGCTATCAAAATCTGAGTATTCCTTTTGGTCCTTAGAAAGACTTAAAAAATTACATGATTCACATTAAGATTTCCTTTCAATTTAGTTTAAATATAAATCTTGTTTATTTAACAATAATCAGTAATCAGTGCACTCCATCAGTAACTTAATTCAACAATAATTATATTTTACTGTACCATTGACAAAATATTATTTACTTTAGAATAATATTTTAGTTAAGCACCGATTCAATGATTTTAGACCATTATTTCTTCTGTTTGAGAGATTGAGTAAGTTGAGTGAGTTCTGCTTCCAAGAAACCAACAAAGGAGTAAAATAAAGCAAATTTATCCAGGATCAATTTTCCTCATATGTTTTATGAGATGGATAGCTACTTTAGTAAGTGTCTAACCCAATGCTATAGTTGACTGACTCACTGACTGCAGTGGCCATTTCACCAAATCCTTGAGGGGGTGCAGCCGGCCCTTACCAAAGAAAGGGGTCCAGGGCCCTCTCTTAGAAAATTGAGCAATTTTGAAACAAAAAAATAGGGGTTTAAGCTTATTTTAAATGTACAAAAGGAAAAATTATGAAAAATTGCTGGAACAGCATATTTTTTCTCTAATCCAGGAACCAGGGGGGCACTGGGCAGACACCCCCCGAAGCCCTCCCCCAAATGATGCCATTGACTGACTGACTTCGCCAATCCAATTCTACAGCCTCCAATGTCGATGATTATTTAGAATCCCCCTTTAGAGTTCAATGATAAAAAGTAATTATTTACAGATTAACTTATCAAAGTGCAATGATTCATAAATTGTGTGAAAAATTAAGTCTGATTCACATTTAACCTTACACAAGTAGGTAGTAGACCTTAAGAACTTAATTTTAAATTTAATATTAATTTCAAATCCATTATGAAACCCAAAATACTTCACTTCTCATACACAGATGACAATTTTGTTCTATTCTAAAATATCACTTTTTGTAATATAACATGTACTCGATGTATTTTTACTTTTCAAATGTTGGTCACACTTCCCAGTTGGCAACACTGTAACGATCAGCTGTAACGGATATCCGAGCAGCTGATATGAAACTAAAGTTATTCAAACTAACTACAGCCGGCGTGTAGTTTGAGTCGTGCCATTAGCAGAGTTTTTAATTGCCGCGAGATCCGATTTCGATGCGGTGTTGTATTTCAATTTGTTCGCGTCGGCGACACCCGATCTGCGCGCACTCTATACGCCCATTATTCCCGACGGCAAAAACTTTAATTAGCATTCTGCTAAAGCCGATCACTCTTTGTTTATTTATTATCTAGGGAAACTGGATTTCCTCTGCACTGTGAGTTATGCCAATAAAGGGAATCCGATAATTAGCTGTAAATCTCATTTACTCATTTAACCTGTCCCTGCAACGTCATAAAATGTATTTGAACTGTGCAATGTTGGTTTAAACATGATAATGTCAGAAATGAGTATCTTTATTTATAACTTTTTGAATACTTAAAACAAAAAGTACAACGCTTTTTTCAAACTTCTCTTTCGAAGTAAGTTTTTAGTCGTTTAATTGATCTTGCGGTTATCTTTTGGAGCAAACTGTAGCCAAAGAAATTGATCCCCTCCTTTGAAATTACCTACTTATAACTGATTTACCTACACTATCGATGATATCCCTCGAGACTAAAAATGTGTATACCTGGAGCAGCGTTTGGGAGTTCTCAACTCACCGAAAATAATTTACGATCAAGTTAAAATGAATAATTAGAATGTCTGGAACTGCGTTCAAAGAAATGCATTTTCATTTGGCAACTTCATCAATATGTTTATATCAATTAAAATTATGCATGATAAAAGCGATCGGTGATAATTTCATGAACCCTAAATTATGTAGGGATTATAATTTTGTAAATTTTTGTAATGCCATATTACTTTTTCCACTTGATATTTTACGTTAGTTTAGAGTGTTCTTGTCTAAGCTATTTTCATCGACGATCAGTGTCTTGTATCCCTGTGTGGATTGGTGGTGTAAGTAGTTGGGGAGGCGCCAGAAATAAGAAAATATGGGGAGCAAAACACGCGAAACTGAGCCATCGCCAAGTGGGATACAGGGTTTTGTACTCTGTAGGTCAGGGATGGTGATAAGATCTGTGAAATTAAATCGTACCAGACCTTGGTAATAGACGAGTTTTAAATTAAATTAGCAATACAATCTTGTGGGTTTCTTGAAATCGAGCGCAATTGTGGTGCATAATAAATTGTGTGTGCACAATCTGTAGCGTGTGTTGCACTGTACTGTACAAGTTCGATTATAGAAAGGTGTACACTGTACAGACCTAGCAGTAAAAGACCATTTATCCTACATGACAGGTACAATACTTTACTTACTATAAATAATTAACCAGTAATGATCCCGGCTCAACATTGTGGTGTGATTTTGGATTCGAGATCCTACACGTCGATTTGTTGACTAGTGAATGATTTGACCGTGGAACTGGTGTTACTATTAACTGTGCCATAGAGTATTAACTGTGTAATTAATTTAGCCTGATTAAGGTAATATCTTGGGGTTAACTTTATAAAAGGACCACGGTCCACAATGTCATAAAATTGTTGCACGGATTTTCAGTAATTTTTACAGATTAAAAAAATGTTGTTAAGTTAATGAACACATTTTCAATTATTTTGAAAATGTATAAAAACCACGAAAGAGTCTATGTTTTTTAAGGTGTTGGTACCACAATCCAACTTACTACACTAAGTAATCTAAAAATCTTAAAACTGGTACCGGGTAGGTTAAGTGTAAATAAATACCATTAAATTGCATTATGATAAAATCCCTAGAAATAAACACTTATTTAAAAAAATATTCCTTTTACTCTGAGAATAAATTCTACACTGGACGGACCAAAATGTTTACTCGTCTGTAACAGTAGTTGCGCGTTGTGCCGTTGTTCTACGAAGGACGAAGAAAAGGTTTACAATGACAAGGCGGGTTGGGATGTCAGTTTCATATGTCCTCCCCCTCCCCCTCCCCCACCCCTCGACATCTCAGACAGTCATTATTGCACAGCTGATCGACTCCGATATCAGATACTCATTATACTAATGATTTTAGTCTTTATCCAGTAACGGGAGAAGTCTCTGTTTAAATCCCGCTGGACGCTCGTCCTTCGCAAATAATTAAGGGTGTTTCGTTACAAAAAACCACGTTTGTCAACGTCATTGTTCGCATTAGATTGGTGAAGTCGGAACAATGGTGGAGGATAATTCTGGACTTTTGCAAAGATTTATATTGGCGTAAAGTGTATTGGAAAAAATCAACCGGAATAAATGTGATTCTTTGTATTGGGGGTGTTTGATGGCACGAATGTAATTTTTAACATACGTGTTCATGTCATTAAGAAATTAATTATTTATAAAATTCCTCGAAGGAAGTAGTTGTATGTTATTTTTAATTGTAATTTCAAGAACCGAGACTCTGTTTAGGGTCTCAAGAAGTTCATTTACACCATTCATATACACACTGCATATATCACAGTTTGTCAGATTTATATGAACATTGGATCAAATGTTTGAACCAACATATATTTAAAAAGTTCACTCGGTCCATTAATTTGTGTGGGGTAGGGCCGTTCCAATAGGCTGCGATCCATTCATGGTGTGGTTAATACCATGGTGTTAATATCATGGTGTGGAGTCGTGGTCGTTACCATAGTTGTACCAGGTTGTACCCACGAATACTAGAAAAGACCCGGTATGGATTATAAACATAAACAAATGACGTTTTTTGTCCCGAAAGTAAACAAGACCATATGTTAATTAATGCTATTAGTATAGGGGTTTTGTTTACTTTCGGGCCAAAAACGTCATTTGTTTATGTTTATGATCCATACCGGTATTTTTCTAGTATTCGTGGTTGTACCCACGGATTTTAAAACATAAACGGCATGAATAATAAACATAAACAAATTATGCCACTGAGCCACAAGTAAACATGGTTTTATTAATGTTTAAATGGAACTGTCTAAAAACGTTCAAACCAGCTGTTACGGCTTATTATAGACGTAGTTTTTACATCGTTGTTATAGACATCCGGTCAACAGTGACGTCATTTGATTATGTCTATGTTTATGATCTATTCCATTTCTGTTCTAACATTCGTGGTTTACCCCAAAAATAATATAAAGATTTAAAAAATAAAAAAAAATCTGTAGAAGTGCTGAACACAATAGGCCACCTCCCACCCCACTATTATGTAAAATAAACTATTTCTATTACACAATATTTGTTTCATTTTAGGCTTTTGAAATTTCACCAAAACAAAAATAATATTTCTCGTAGCAGCTTCTCGCAGTGATTTACCATTCCTCTAGTGCTCTAGTCTAACACAAACAGCACTGGTAGGAACGCATTTCACAGTTGCCGGCCGGACACTCGACACCCGCTCCTACGAATGCTGTTGAGGGGTTGGTTTACACGTGTCTACGGCGGAGTATTTTGGGGTACGTAACGAAAGAAGCTGGTACAGAGTTACCGCCCG